GCCCCCGCCCTGCCCGCCCCCCTAGACGTTTCCAGAGCTGGAGAGTGCGAGCTCCCTTTTGGGAGGGGGAGACTCGAGGCAGAGATCACGGGGAAGGGGCAGGGGGGCTATGGATGAGACCCACGACGGCATTCCCTCTCCCCGGGCCGGCAGTGGAGCCGGGATGCAGTGGGCTGCAGGCGGTGGGGGCAGATCTGAGCCTCACTTTTGCACCTTTCCCGATGGTTGAGGGAGATTTCTCTCTCAGGGGGTTTCACCCTCTTTCTAATCTCTCCTTCCCCTTCCTGCAGCTCTTCCTGGTGAGAGCAGGGCAGGGTCTCTGTTCTCTGCCCCGGTTCTCTTGGCCGGACTGCAGGGCTGTCTTGTGATGCAGCAGGTGTGTGTGTGAAGCATGCCCACCAGCTCCTGATGTGCAGCCTGGGGCTGGGGCTTGGCCCAGTGACTGGTCGTGGGGGTGGGAGTGGGGTGGTCCCCCACACCTCTGTTCAGTGTCATGCAGTGGCCACATCTCCTGGCCCATGTTGGGTAGTGATGGTCACTGGGCTGGTGTGTGTATGTGGTTTTGAGGAAAGGTGGATGGGTGCGTCCCTGTCCTCAGACCTGAAGCATGTCTGTGTGACTCTACGTGCTCCGTGTCCCAGCTCTTTCCCCCTTCTCCCTCCAGGGGTGCTTTCTCTGTGGTCCGCAGGTGTGTGAAGAAAACCTCCACGCAGGAGTATGCAGCAAAAATCATCAATACCAAGAAGTTGTCTGCCCGGGGTGAGTGTTGCCCGGCTGGGCCTCTCCCTGGGGTGTCTCCAGGGGTTAGGGCTTCTTCCGAGGATGCTCTAGGAGTTGGGGTTGTGCATTTCAGCACTTGGAGGAGAGTTGGGATTTCAGGGTGGATGGACGGCGAAGGCCGGCAAGGAGTTGCACGGGAAACCTGAAGTGCTCAGGTGGAAGAGTGAAGCGGGGGTAAGAGATGTAGGTAGCTGCAGGGAGGTGCAGTCCCTGAGGCTCAAGGAGCTTGGTTTTAAAGAGACGGGGGACATTGGGAATGTCGGGCGGCATGGAACCATGGAACAGTGAGCTCTCAATTGAGGGCGTTTGGAGTGTGTGTGTTTGGGGCAATGGTAGCCACTCCGGGTCTATCCCAGGCCCTGTGCCCCCGTGGTGACTTAGGATGGAAATGCAGCAAGTGAACAGCTCTGACAGATCAGCCTCCCCCTGCCCACCAGGCGGCAGAACAGACTCCCAAGGGAAGGGAATCTGTAAACATCAGAGGAGGCAGCTACTGGCGAGGGCTTCTGGGAACAAATCCTGCCAGATGAACTTGATTGCTTTTTTGATCAAATTACAAAGTTGGTGGTGCAGCAGCAGATGCAGTCTGTCCTGGGTGGAGAGTGATGCCTCATGGTCTGGAATTCTCAATGGCCTGGTCTGGGTGGGAGCCGCATCTCCTCGGGGTCTGAGGGTGAGGAGGGGCCAGGCCTTAGAGCCTGACTTGTGAGGTCCTCCTGAGCACCTGACCGCACCTGAAGCCGGGAGGGTCAGGCCCTGGCTTTCACACCTCGCACCTACACTCCCTGAACCTTGTCTTGGGTGCTTGCCAAACTCACCTCATCTGATAGGTATAGACCCAGCCGTGTGTGAAGTGCTCTGTGAACAGGTCTGGTGAGTACAGAGGTATGTGGATGGGTTGGGTCATCGAGGGCTGCCGGGTGCAGCAGCGGGGGACACATTTTATGAGATTCAGAGCAGGGAATTTAGGGCTGGGCAGTAGGATGCCTTAAATACATTAGGAGCCAGGACAGATGCCTGGGGGTAGACAGGGGAAGACTGAGGCTACAGCTAGTAATGACCCAGGCATCTCTAGGGTAAGAGATGTCCCCAAGCAGTGGAGAAACTATAAAATTCCAGAGAGGGACAGTGGGCTTCTGTCGTGTTGACAGTTGTCCTGGGACCTAGTTAGCAGGGTATCTACCTCCTGGCTGGGAGGGCCCCTCTCCATCCCCACAGACGAGAGCTCGACTTGCTTTCTCCCAGCCCCCATCTCTTGCTGCTCCTCTACGTTGGCTATAAAGTTGACTTATTTGTTTGTTTTCTTTCTCTCTGGGTACCTTGAATTGGAGGCAATGGTTACCATAGAGATATGTGGGCAGTCAGATGCACTCCTTCCCTGGGGTGCAGGGAGGGGAGGGTACAGCGCGGTGGGCTGTGCTCGTTGGCAGACATCCTCTGGCCAGGGATGCAGGGTGCGGGCAGAGATGACAGCCCGAGAGTGCGTACCTTCCCGTGTCCACACGGCGTTGCAATGGTGTAGTCTGGTGTCTCCAGTTAATCATGTCATGCTTTGCTTTTCCTCACCTCACCAGTATCCTCTGACCCAGGGGTGAGGGACGGAGAGATGACTGGGCGCCCAACTCTGGGGTGTGGGCATAGCTGGTGAGGTGACTTTGTAGAGCTGCCTGCCTTGGGCTGTCATTTTCTACTCTCTCCCTACCCACCTGAACTTCTCTGACCTGTGTAATCATGCCTCTTTCCCATCCTCACCTCCTCTCAACCTTGCCCTGTCTTTCCCAACTGATAATCGTTCTCTCCCTGCCCAAACTGGGTGAGGTTTGATTTCTCTTTGATTTTTTTTTTTTCCCCTCAAGAAGGAAATTCTTGTGTAAGATCATATGCTTCAGACAGCAACTCCCCCTCTCTTGAGATGGTTATGCCAAGTCTGGGGCTCTGTTGTATGGCTTGTGTGCCAGGTTGACTTTGGGACAGAGGCCTACTCCTGGCTGATGGGCACAGATGCCAGCACGAGGGTCAGGAATATGTAAGTGCCAGCCCTGTCTGGAGGTGGGAGAGTGGGAGGGTGTTGTCTTGGAGATGGAGGGAGCAAGCCAGGGGCTGTGCTGTAGGTGTGGGCGTCAGGGATGTGAGCTCCTGGAGAGGGTTGGGCCGGGGGCCCACGAGGCTGGTGCCCACGGGGTTAGGGAGTGAAGGCCGTGGCTTCCCGCAGCCTCTCAGTTTACGCTGTATATTTTATAAAGGTGCAGTAGCTGGGGCTGGGTTTCATTCGTCGCTGTCTGTCTGTCTAGAGCTCCGCAGGTGTTGGATTTCTGTGTTGGGGAATGTGGTGGGTCCACCAGGGTCACTGGAAGGGTCTGAAGGGGTTTGCGGTGTTTGCGGAGCTCCCTGCCTGTTCTCTTTCTTGTTTGCGATTCTCTGTGCTGCAAACCGAAAGGAAAGAGAGCGGGTATCGAGCTGCTTCTCCTTGGCATTCATGATGAGGTGGCCCAGGAGGCACGGGGAGAGATCACCTGGTCTTCCGGTGGGTGGATCTGGATGGAATCCTGCTTTTGCCCTGTTGTTTCTTGTCATTGTGGCCTCAGGCCCATGTTGGTGGCTGGGTTGCAAGGTAGGGAGTTCCTGTGGCTGTACATTGTACGCTGTCCTTGTGGCCCTGGCTACGTAAAGTCTCTGAAAGTCACATAACGTCACTCCGTTTGCTTTGGGACAGCAGTCGGTGTGGATTTGGGGCTCTTAAGGGAACCCATGGTTCCAAGCTGAGCTCTCTGCTGGGCTGAAGGAGGCATTTAAAATAGGCTTGGATGCAGGAGCTAGTGGGCCAGGTGATGGCAATGATAAGTCGTTATTTTAAGATTTAAGAGCACCCCCCACCCCCAGGAGCCTGAGCCCTTATGTCTTTTTTTATTTTTAAATCTTCATATTCCCTTATCTTTATTCATATGCATATAGATTTTCACCTCATGGTGCATAACATTTTATATCCTGCTCTCTTGCTTACATCCAAAACATTGCCCCATATTGCTACAGTTGAAGGGCAAATGGTCCTTCCTTTCTTCTACATAGGTTAGGATTTATTCTTGGAACAATTAGCATCTAAGAAACCTCTGTATTTGGACCATTTATCTTCATTCCAATTGCTTTTACTATGATGGATACTTGGCCTTACTATGAGAAGCTACTATGAGCAAATATTTGAAATCTGTTATAACACTTGCTGTATGTATGTATGTATGTATGTATGTATGTTTGTAGTCTGGCTCAGTGGATAGAATGTCGGCCCATGGACTGAAGGGTCCCAGGTTCAATTCTAGTCAAGGGCACGTACCTCAGTTGCAGGCTCGATCCCTGGCCCTTGTTAGGGTGCATACAGGAGGCAACCAATCGATCCGTTTCTCTCACATTGATGTTTCTCCCCGCCCCCCCCTTTCCTTCCACTCTAATATCCTCCGATGAGGATTAACAAATGTTTCTCTTTAGTCTGTGTATCCTATGAGAAGTAATTTCTATTGAAGCTAAATGTAAACCAAAAGCTTTCCTCTTCCTAGAGACCTGGGAGGTAACGGGAGGGACCATATCTGTTTCTTTACTATTGTGTGGGCAGGGCCTTGCCAAGTGCCCGAGACACACAGAGCATCTGTGTGCTGAATGAATCAATTATAAAAGGACTACATGGCCCATCATGGCTGCCTTTTGGCTTTGGCTCTGGAACCTCATAGCCAAGTTGCTGGAACCCTTATACCCTGGTGTTGGCCCGCTTCCCCCTTTTTGCTCCATGGAGCCAGCCTGTAGGCCTGACGGAGCTGTTGGGAGAGGACGGATGAGAGCAAAGACCTGTGCTCGGGACATAACGCAGGTCGGAGAGGTAGGAAGACAGGGTAGCGTAGGATTCCCTGTCATGAACGGCCTTCTAGGGCAGTGTGGGAACGTCTCAGAGCAGCGGTTTCCAGTTTTAGAGTCTGTAAGGACCACCTTGAGTGCTGGTGAGGACGCAGGTGCCTGGCTCCGGCCACAGAGGTTCTGCTTCTGGGCGTCTGGGGTGGGGTTCTAGAATCCACATGCAGGTGGCCCCTGAGCCGTGCTCTGAGACATGCCATCTGAAATCAGTGACAGCAGTGACAATTGCTCTTGCCATGCTTCCTGCGATTTACCAGACACATGTTAACCCAGCCTTCTCCAGGTGGCGTCTCTGCCGGCCTGTGGCCATCTGTGCACGAGGGCTGCTCTGTGATTTGGGGCCTCCTTCTGAGCTCCCAGATTGGGGTGTCGGTCCGTGTTCAAGGCTGTGGCAAGCTGAGTGCCTGGGGCTGTGGTATGTTGGCCACCAGAAGGGCAAAGGCTGTCCCTTTCTGGGTCCAGCTGGCCCTGGGGACTGAAATAGGATCCCCCCGGGTGGTGCCAGCTGAGAGTCCCCACCCCCTCAGTGTTGGCCTGAGTAGCCCCCATGACATTTGTGTCCCCTGTGGTATCTCCAAGTGAGACTTTCCTGTTAAGGATCTGGGTGAAGTGAGGGGAGGGTGAAGCAGCAATGGGCGGGGGAGAAGGAAGAGAAATCTAGGCAGCACTGGAATGCTGGGGCTCGGGAACTGGCGGAAGCATTTAAGGAGGTTTTACGCAAAACCATGCTTTCCTCCTAAGGAGAAAACAGGCCCCCCCTTTTTTTTTTGACAGAGAAATGGACAGCCTGTATATAAGTGACTGAGCTCCCCTAACTCTTCCTCCCGAGTGGATTAAGAGGCAGCCTGGAGGTCCCTTCTCTGTGCCAAGGCTTCTGCCGGGCCAGTTTCGTACCGCCATGCTGTGAGCTGTGTGACTTAGCTCATGCAGCACTGGCCTGCCACCTGCCCTCCCATCCACCTTCCCAGAGTGACTTTGGGCGCCGGCATCACGGGGTGGGGCTGGAAGTTGGAAGGGGGTCCCGTCCCGTAGGCAAGGCCCCTGCTTTCTTCCAGCTGCTTGTTCTGGTCCCTCGTCAGAAG